CAGGGCCTAGCAGGCGTGGCACTTTCTCGACACCAGAGGGGGTGCGCAGGGGGTGGTCTCTCACCGCGGTCTCTATACGCGCCAATGTCGCAGGGCCTAGCAGGCGTGGCACTTTCTCGACACCAGAGGGGGTGCGCACGGGGGTGGTCTCTCACCGCGGTCTCTATACGCGCCAATGTCGCAGGGCTAGCAGGCGTGGCACTTTCTCGACTCCAGAGGGGGTGCGCAGGGGGTGGTCTCTCACCGGGGTGGTCCCTCACCGCGGCCGCTATGCACGACGGTCGTCCAGGGCATAGCAGGCGCGGCATTTTCTCGACACCATAAAGGCTGCGCAGGGGGTGGTCCCTCACCGCGGCCGCCATGCACGACGGTCGTCCAGGGCCTAGCAGGCGTGGCACATTCTCGACACCATAGAGGGTGCGCAGGGGGGTGTCCCTCACCGCGGCCGCTGGCTGGCTCGAATCTGTCCTCGATGGAGGATAAACGGCTAGGAAGAGTGAGGAGGTTCAAGCAATATGGCGTTGGATGACACAGAGGGGAACATTCGCGACGAGGGCTGAGAACGCAGAATTGCGCATGTATGATAAGCTTAAGCAAGCACATAAGATTTAAATTAAGTATGTGGGGTTCCTCGGTAGCGTAATTATGCGGTCCTTTTTGGGGCGGGTAGGGGTGGTGGTGGTGGGTGGGGGTGTGTGAGGGGGAGACAAGGGGGTTACATGATGTTGTCTGGGGAGGCCTAGAGTTCCATCCATCCTTAACCTGACCCTATAACAGTTCCACCCGCTTCTAAAAGGATCTTCCTATAGCTTCATCCATTCCTGATAGGATGCTGTTAGAGCCCCGTCCATCCCTAACAGGATCCTAGTAGAGCTCCATCCATCCCTGACAGGAACCTATTTAGAGCTCCATCCATCCCTAACTGGATCCTACAAGAGCTCCATCCATCCCGAACAGGATCCTCTTCGAGCTCCATCCACCCTTTACATGATCCTACTAGAGCTCCATCCATCCCTAGCAGGATCTTATTCGAGCTCCATTCATCCCTAACATGATCCTACTGGGGCTCCATCCACACCGAACAGGACCAAATTCAAGCTTAATCTATACCCAACAGGATCCTTGTAGAGCTCCATTCATCCACTCCTAACAGGATCCCCTAGAGTTCCATCCATCCCTGACAGGGTCCTATACAAGGTTCCATCCACTCTTAACAGGATCCTATTCGAGCTCCACCCATCCCTGATAGGATGCTATCAGAGCTCCATTCATCCCTAACAGGAGCCTATTCGAGCTCCATCCATCCCTAACAGGATCTTATTAGAGCTATCCATCGATCCCAGCAGGATCCTGTCAGAGGTCCATCCATCCCTAACAGGATCTTATAAGAGTTCCATCTATTCCTAACAAGATTGTTTTCGAGCACCATCCATTCCTAGCAGGATCCGAGTAGAGTTCCATTCGCCCCTAACAGGATCTTATAAGATTTCCTTCCACTCCTAAGTGGATCCTATCAGAGCCTCATCCATCCGTGATAGGATGCTGTTTAGAACTCCATCCCTAACAGGTTCCCATTCGACGAGGCAACCAGAGGCGTTGCTTCGCCAGCGCGCGATCGTTTGGCGAAGGCAGGACCGAGGTGACCCCTGTATGGATCCCAGTGGATTTTGTGTTTAGTTGTTTATATGAGTGCTGGATGCTGGCTGCTGGCTGCTGCCCCCCCCCATCGTGGGTGGGGAGGGGCACAGGAGTCCGGTCATGCGAATAGAGTGACCGGAATCCTGTGCCCCTGGGGAGAGGGGCGCTGATATGCGTTGGTGCCTTGTTGTTGTTGCTGTTGTTTTTGGTCGGAGCGCGCCGATGTCGGTCATACATATATATATATATATATATATATTGCCCCAGAGGGCCCAGGACATTCTTGGTGCTTCTCGACTTCGCCTCCCCGAGCCGCCGCCGACGTGTGGGGCCCACTCCCGCGCGCACACGCGTGGCTTCACAGGCAGTCTTCCACGAGTGCATCGTGGACGACGACCTCAACTCTGGCAAGTCCAACCGCCAGCGCGAGAAGCTGAAGGGCAGGCGCACGGGGGGCACGGAAGGGAGGAGCGGAGGACGTATCAGACATGAAGTGTGGGGCGCCGCTGTCAGTCGAGATGCTGTGGCGGCTTGTGTGTGTGTGTGTGTGTGTGTGTGTGTGTGTGTGCGTTTGTTTGTTTGTTTGTTTGTTTGTTTGTCTGTCTGTTTGTTTGTTTGTTTGTTTGTTTGTTTGTTTTTGTGTGTGTGTGTGTGTGTGTTGTGTTGCATGTTGTGGGTAGTGTGTTGTGTGTTGCGTGTTGCGTGTTGTGTGTTGTGGGTTATGTGTTGTGTGTTGTGTGTTGTGTGTTGTGGGTTGTGTGTTGTGTATTGTGTGTTCCGTGTTGTGGGTTGTGTTGTGGGTTGTGTTGTGTGTTGTGTGTTGTGTGTTGTGTGTTGTGTGTTGTGTGTTGTGTGTTGTGTGTTGTGTGTTGTGTGTTGTGTGTGTATATGTGTTGTGTGTGTTGTGTGTGTGTGTGTGTTGATGCGTGTCATCTGGTGGGGCGAAGGCGCCCTGGCCAGCCGAGGCGGAGCGCAAGTGTACGAGGTCGTGGATGTGGGCCCACGGTCTGGCGAGGTGGGATGAGGTGGGCTCGAGGGCTCAGGGCGTGCATCGAGGCTGCGGGTGAGGCGGGGTGGGCACCACGCCGGCGCCGGTGATCCGCTGGCCACTGGCTGGGCGAGGCGGGCCCCAGGAGCAGGACCCGAGTCGGGGATGAGGGCGTGGCGGGGTGGCCACCGCGTCGGAGTCGCTGATCCGCTGGCGGGCGAGCCAGGCCCGAGGATCAGGATGTGAATCGAGGACCATCGGCGGCAAGCGAGGGGGGGAGCTGAGAAGGAACAGGCCTTCGCAGAAGGCGGCGGGACCTCTCAGACAGCTCCGTGCCCTCTGAAGGGTTTTCGGTGTCTTCGGGAAAGGCGTCGAATACTTCCTCAGAAGGCAGGGGGACTTCCGAGCCTTCCGAGAAGGCCCGCCCCTCCTCGCTTCCCTCCGGGCTCGCCGCCGGGACGAAGGCGGGGCAGGGCGGCCACAACGTCTCGAAGAAGAAAAAACGCCATAGACATAAACTTTTGGCGCTCCGCGCGGGTTTCTAGGATCCGCGCTGGGCCCCCCCCAACGGCGCCTCCGGCGCCGCCTTTGGCGCGCTCCGCGCGCCAGGGAGAGGGGTCCAGCGCAGACCCAAGAAATCTACGCGGAGCGCCAACAGTTTCTGCTTATGGCGTTTTTCATCTATAGTTATCTCGCTACGCCCGTTTTGAGACGCAACGCGTCCCGTGATCAAGACGTCCGTATCAATACGTTGCTTGGTGGCTCCACGTATTGGACCACGCATTGGCGAATGGATCGCGTCAGAGTTACGTTTTCAGTCCATGTGTTGAGTTCCGTATCAATACGCTACGTGTTGCGTGTTGCGTATCGGGGAAGCTAAGCGCCAGGGATGACCGCGCGATGGGAGCGCGTGGCTGAGGTCGTGGCGGTAGAGCCCAGAGCAGACCCCCAGAGAAGACCACCCCTGAGACGGTGGAGGGGTATGCGGAGATCCCCTCCCGCATAGGATAACCTGGAGGACCTTCGAGCAGGACAGCTCCCAGAGGTTCGAGGGATCGATCCGCAGCCTGGCGATGTTTTCATTCGCACAGTGCTTGCTTCCGAGCCTGTCCGGAGGAGGTCAGACCGTCAGCAGCGCTGCCCGGACGGGGCGGCAGGGTCAGCCTGCACGGCCCTCGGGCCTCCCCGCTCCTGCACCAGACCGCGGGGCGAGGCACGCGCGGGTCGAGATCGGGAGATCGGCGCGGCGACGCTGGGGGAGAAGTGAGAAGGGGCGGGTCTTCTCAGAGGGCTCGGAAGTCCACCCGGCCCTCTGGGAAGTTTTCAGGCCTTCCCCGAAAGACGCGAACAGCCTTTCGGGAGGCTCGAGGCCTTTTGAGAAGCCCCGCCGCCTTCCGAGAAGGCCTTCTCCTTCTCACTGCCCCCCCTCGCTCGCCGCCGACGAGGACAATGGCAGGGCGGGGCTGGGCTTGGGGCGTAATGCTATCAAGCGACGAACGAATGCCTATGGGGGGGAGGTTGCAGCGCCCCGCTGGGAAATGGACGATCAAACACATACTCCTGGTTCGTCGGTGTTGTCTTTTGTCGTCGAGGACGCCAGGCTGCAGCCAGCGACCTCGACGAAAAGCAGATCTGTCTCAAGTCGTCCCTGCCTTATTTTTTTGGGGGCTGCTGGTATTAGAGGGCCCAGGCAGGGGCAGGGAGGGCGAGACGATTGTGCCGTGGGCGGGCTGCCGTGCGAAAGGGGGTGGAGTGCGCACCTTGTTGGCCGCGCACTTGGCTTTTCTCTCCAGGAGGGGTCAGGAGTCTTGAAGCTACCGCGCTCTCATCGTCCTCCCTCGTCCTCTTGCTGCTCCGTCTCCTTCTTCCACCGACTGCTTCGCTGCGAGGGAAGTCGCCGTGGCCTGGAGTGTCGATTCTTCCGCCCCTCCGAAGCCCTCTCGATCGCCGCTGGGGCGCTCCACGCGGCCGAGCCGCCTCTCGGGCGAGAGAGGAAAGAGCGGCGCTGAGGCGATAGAAACACCCGCATTCTGGCGCTGTGCCTCCTCCTCTGCCTCCTCCTCCTCCTCCTCCTCCTCCTCCTCCTCCTCCTCCCTCCTCCCTCCCTCCTCCCTCCTCCCTCCTCCCTCCTTCCCCTCCTCCTTCTCCTCTTCCATCCCCATCCCCTTCCCTCCTCCTCCTACTCCTCCTTTTCTCCGCATTCGACTGGCCGGGCATTCCGACAAGCTCCACGAGCGGCCAACTTGGGGTCGTCTGAGAGCCTCTTCTTGTAGCCGTCTCGGAGCTCTCTCGGAGCTTGCCTGGCGGCGGCTCTTGGGGCCCTTATGGGGCTCACCCGAGTACTTCTTTGGGGCCGTTGGGACTCTCTTGGTGTCATCCTGGAAGTGGCACAAAAAGCGGATCTAAGTAGCTAGCCCCTCTGTGGAGTCTGAGGAAGTGCCCCTCGAGGCCTTGAGTCGCTCTTGAGCTGGCTTTGGGGCCCTCCGGGGGCCTTTTGGGTTCCTCTTAGGGCTCTCTTGAGCCATCTCGGGGCCACCTGCAGGCCTGAGAGGCCCAGCGGGAGCGAAATGGCGAATATCATTCGAGAACAGCGAGAGTTTCAAAGACTAGCCTCTCAGGGGCATCTTTAGGAGGTACTTAGGGTATTCGGGGGGCATCTTGGGGACATGCTGGAGGTCATCTTGGGCCATCTTGGAGGCATTCCTGGGCTACCTGAAACCACTTGGCCATGTCGGACTTTCCATCTACCAGCGACCGCTCCAGGCCAGACCCTTGGGGAGGGGCCGGGTCAGTTTCCGAAGTGGACAACCACAACCTGTCTCGCCCACTTCATCTGCGCTTCAACACATAAACAGCTGGTGATACTAAGAATGGCCAACGGTCGGTATCGTCAGCAATGGGTAACCAACATGGGTGCCATGCGCGTCAGGTGGTTTGCCTTCCTTTGTAGAGGTGAGGATGCATTTGAACCCTGCAAGAGCTTGCATGTGAGATCACCTGCGCCCAGGTGGCAAGTGGGATCGCGATGCTCGTGCCAGTTCGGAAGGTCGGGTCGACCGAGAGGGAGATGGGGTAGGACATCTGCTGTATGCAGCTCGCTTCGGCCCCGCCGCTCGGCACCCTTCCCTGATGCACGGGCGCTTCCTGGCGGAGGAGGCGCCAGGAAAGCCAGCCACGTGAGCTAATTTGCCCCTCCCACCCTTTTCCAACCCCCGCTGTCATGCGACCCGGGAGGGGGGGAAACGGGCTGCAGAGCTCAAGAGAGGGCCCCCGTGCAGGGCCCCTGCGTGGGGATATGCGAGAACGAGGCCGAGGAGGGGAGGCCAGAGGAGGGGAGCCCAGAGGAGGGAGGATGAGGATGAGGATGAGGATGAGGATGAGGATGAGGATGAGGATGAGGATGACGATGATGATGATGATGATGATGATGATGATGACGATGCTGATGATGCTGATGATGCTGATGATGCTGATGATGCTGATGCTGATGCTGATGATGACGATGACGATGACGATGACGATGATGATGATGATGATGACGCTGATGATGACGATGACGATGACGATGACGATGATGATGATGATTATGATGATGATGATGTTGATGTTGATGTTGATGTTGATGATGATGATGATGATGATGATGATGCTGATGCTGATGCTGATGCTGATGCTGATGCTGATGATGATGATGATGATGATGATGATGATGATGCTGATGCTGATGCTGATGATGATGAGGATTATGGATGATGTGATGATGATGGTGATGATGATGTGATGATGATGATGATGATGATGATGATGATGATGATGATGATGATGATGATTGATGATGATGATGATGATGATGATGATGATGATGATGATGCTGATGATGCTGATGATATGATTATGATGATGATGAGGAGGAGGAGGAGGAGGAGGAGGAGTAGAGGAGAGGAGGGCGGAGGCGGAGGCGGAGGAGGATGAGGTGAGGAGGAGGGAGGAGGAGGAGGAGGAGGAGGAGAGGAGGAGGAGGAGGAGGAGGGAGGAGAGGAGGAGGCGGAGAGGAAGAGGGGAGGAGGAAGAGGTGGAGGAGGAGGAGGAGGAGGAGGAGGAGGGAGGAGGAGGAGGAGGAGAGGAGGAGGAGAGGAGGAGGAGGAAGGAGGAAGGAGGGGGAGGGGGAGGGGAGGAGGAGGAGGAGGAGGAGGAGGAGGATGAGGGGAGGAGGAGGAGGAGGAGGAGGAGGAGGAGAAGGAGGAGAAGGAGGAGGAGACGAGGAGGAGAGGGAGGATGATAATGCTGATGATGATGATGAGGAGGAGGAGCGGAGGAGGAGATGAGAGGAGGAGTAGGAGTGGAGGAGAGGCGAGGAGGAGAAGGATAGGAGCAGGAGGAGGAGGAGGAGGGAGGAGGAGGAGGAGGAGGAGGAGGAGGAGGAGGAGGAGGAGGAGGGAGGAAAAGGAGGAAGGGGAGGAGGAGGGGGGGGGGGGAAAGGGATGGGGTCGGGAGGGGGAGGGGGAGGGGGAGGCGGAGGAGGACAATGCGAATACTACCACTAATTAGCAGACGATTACGACTAATAATAAGACCAGGTATAGTAATACTGGTAAACAGAAGAATGATATTTTGTACAGCTGCTAACACTAACAATAATAATGCTAATCGCACTTATTCGAATGTAAGTAATCATATTCATATTAAGACAAGTACGAGTTCGAGTAACACTAGTAGAAATAATAATACGATAAAGTATAGTAATCTTACCAAGACAGAATATAATAGTATTATTTTTTGTTAATAAGAGGAGGAGAAGGAGGAGGAGGAGAGGCAGGCATCGCGAAGACATCGCGACGGGCGTTCTTCCACGATCGCGGCCTCTGAGCCATCAGCAAGAGCGATTCATGACCGAACGTCGGCTCCTCCACTTCCTCCTCCTATCCCCCTCCTCCTCCTCCTCCTCCTCGTCCTCCTCCTCCTCCTCCTCCTCCTCTTCCCCTTACCCCTCCTCGGGATGCTGGCGGAGAGCTCGCGCGCAGCGCAGGCAGCGGGGCTTCATCCTGCGGGCGGACACGGACGAGTCGCCCCTGGGGCGCGTAGTCCCGTGGTTCAAGGCCTGCCCGCGCCCGTGCCCGCGCCCATGCCTTTGCCCTCATGCCCTCGTCTCCGTCCTCCGTTGTTGCCCCTGCCAACGCGCTTTCCCTGGCCCTCGCCGGTGCCCGCTTCTTCTGCCCGCCGCCCGTCTCTGCGCTTTCCCCTGCCCTTGCCCTTGCCATTGCTCATGTCCTGGATCCCACCCTCGCCCTTGCCGCTCCTTGCCCTCGCCCTTCGACGCCCACGCAGCCGACGACGCCACCGCCGTCGAAAAATGATGCCGCCGTCGTCAACGATGGCGACCACGACGACGGCGCCGCCGTCGACAACGGCCCTGCGGCCCCAGACGCCTGAAGTCGTGACTTCTTTACAGCGTGGACCCCTTCAGGTCTGGACCCCTTCCCTGGGACCAGTTTCTCATCCCGAGCCGTTTTTTGAGGGCCCCCAGAGTCAGAGACTTGTCAAAAGCCGTCCGCCGTGATCTTGTCAAGGCGAGCGGGGGTGACTTCGGGGGTCGACGGCGTCGCCACGACGACGGCGGCAACGGTCATGGCGGCGGCGACGCCGCTGTCGACGAAGCCCCCCCCCGGGGGGCGGGGAGCGCCCGCGAGGCGGCGGCCCAGCATCTGCTCGACGGGGACGTGGTGTCGCGGGTCGGGCGCCGCCGGAGGGTTCGTCGCTGCACCTCGTTTCGAGGAGGGTCGGGTGGTTTTTTTTTGTTGTTGGGGTTGGGGGTGTGGTGAGTATCGTTTCACCATCCCCAACCCCTTCGAGACCCCTCCAAAGTACCCCCCCAGTCGGGGACACACCCCTCGAAGCCCGAAGGGAGCGACCTATATCCCCATCTAGGGGGATAGATCGGCCAGTGGGGCCCAGGCCACGCCGCTGGGGATGGAGATCGGTTAAAAGATAATCATGTGGGTGGGGGCGGTTTGTTGTTTTTGCTTGTTTGCTTGGTTTTGTGATTCCCAACATCCTGTGGTCTCAGTTTCTCGTTTTGAGGAGGCAGTGCCGCGCGGTCCTCCTCCTCCCCTCCTCCCCCTCCTCCCGTTGTAAGAGCCATCAGCTTCGGCACGCTCCTCACACGGTTCGTGGCCCCAGAGGGAGCTCCACAACGGCCCAAGTGGCAGGGTTCGCATGGCGGTCTGGTCCTATTTCGGCACACCCCTTATACGTCACATGGCCCCATAGGAGCTCCACCGAAGGCCCCGATGGCAGGGTTCGCATGGCGGCCCCGCCCAATTTCGGCACACCCCTCCGCGTTTCGTGGCCCCATACGGAGCTCCACCAACGGCCCCAGTGGCAAGGTTCGCATGGCGGCCCCGCCCTATGTCAGCGCACCCCTCACACGGTTAGGGTTCGCATGGTGGCCCCGCCCTATTTCGGCACACCCCCCACGCGTTTCGTGGCCCGACGCGTTTCGTGGCCCCAATTGTTTCGTGGCTCGATTTTCGATGAGCACTTTGAAGTAGGAGGGGAAAAAAGGGGCAGGAGACGGAGGAGGAGGAGGAGCAGGAGAAGGATGAGGAGGAGGAGGAGGAGGAGGAGGAGGAGGAGGAGGAGGAGGAGGAGGAGGAGGAGGAGGAGGAGGAGAAGGATGGAGGAGGAGGAGGAGGAGGAGGAGGAGGAGGAGG